GGTCTGGTTGGATGACGCGAAGGTGGGCAGGCTGATGGCGGGCGAGTTCCTGTGGGAGGTGCCGGCGGCGTCGCCGGTCAAGGAGCTTCTGGGCGACACGGTTGCCCGGGCGCTTCAGCAGTGAGGCCCTTCCCACGTGCCTGCCCTGGCCTGCGCTTTAAACATCGAGGGCAAGGGGGGCACGGATGCAGACATTAATTCAATTTTGGGGTTCCTGGAGCTGAAATCCTGGGGGCTCATCGCCCTTCTGGAGGTCGACCACCGCCGGCGTTGCGATCCCAGCGACGGCATCCTCCGGGAGTTTGAAGGTGGTCACGCGTGCGTGCGCCACTACCCAGGCGAGGGCTCGTGGGCTTTTGCTCTTTTAATTCACAAGCATGCAAGGGCACGATTGAAGGACGTGGAGTGCGGGGATCGTTCTATTCGCGTGGACCTTTTTCACACTTCGCCTGATAGTAAACAAGTTTCTCTTAAGTCTGTTCTTTTTAGCCATTTGGCGCACGGCGCCGCTTTTGAAGACAGCTTGGCCGATGCTCAGGGCCTCGCGCGCCGGAGGCCGCGCAACTCGTCTTTGTTCTGGCTGGGCGATGTGAACGCGGATTCCAAGAAGCCTTGGCAGGAGACATGGTCCCTGTACACGGGTGCGCTTCGAGGTTTGGGTCTCCAGTGGGCCCCGCCCCGCTATTTCGAGGCGGACCCAGCGTTGCATTGCACTCGCAGGCCGTCGGGGGCCCAAGTTGGGCAGCCAGCAAACATAGACCATGCAGCAGCACCTACAGGCCTCCACGTGGACGCATTCATTCGGTGGCAGGGAGTGCCGGGAGATCATGCGCTTCTCGCCGTTGATGCTTTGATGGTGGAGCCTCGGAGGAGGTGCCGGAGACCTCCGAGGTGGCGGCCTCAGTGCGTTCTGTCTGTCGCCCGCGTTGCGTCGCAGCTTTACCCTGTATGCTCAGAGCTTGTACGGCACGACGACTTGCAAAAACCATCATCTTGCGAGGTGCGGTACCACGAGCCGCCGGAATTCTCAGAATCGTTCGGATACTGGGAGCAGTCGGTGGCGGATATTGTTTCTGCCACTCATCGGGTGGGTTCCTCTAGTGTCCGCAGAGCCTGCCATGAGCCCCTGTGGGTCAAGGCCATCAGGAGAAGATTGAGAACATGTCTCGACGAAGTCCGCCGCGTCGAGATAGGCAAGGACCTCCTGAGGGCCCTGAAGATCACCCGGAAATCTTCGGAGAAGCAGGCTTTGGCCATCAAGTGTCTCAGAGGGGAGAAAGTTTGGGTGTCTCGCAAGCCTCTCCCAGCAGTCAGGGGTTTCATCCAGGCTGGCGCCGTCGTGTACGATCCCTCCGTTTGCGCTGCCCTGGTCGATGCCGAGTTCCGCAAAAGGTGGGGCGTCCCTCCAGCGGAATGGGACGAGGAGAATGCTGCAGTCCGCCAGCTTGCCACTTCGAGGGTCCCGCGTCTCCGGGTGCAGCCTGGAGTACTTGACATGGCAGTGGATCGCATCAAGAACTCTGATAAAATCGACAAGCACGGAGCCTGTGTGGCCGCACTGCGGATGGCGGGCTGGGTCCGGAGGACCAGGGACGTAGTGGAGGAAACTTTGAATAGTGACGTGTTCTGGCAGAGCGTCGTCCTGACCGGCACGATCGGAAATAAGGAGAAAGACATCTCGGGGCCGGAGGCCACGAGAGTCGTCATCCCCCAGTCTATGCTTGCGCAGCCGTGTCATGCATACGTTGCGGAGATCCTGGAGCCGTACCTGGAATTGTTCGCGGCCTCGCACTCCTTGTCGGGGCTCGTTTTGGGCCTTGGTAAAGGCGGGCAGGTGCAGGATCTTTTCACCACGGCGTCGCAGGTTCTGGAGGTCGGAAGAGATAGGTTCAACGAGGCTGCAGTGGCCATTGCGGACGTAAAGGCTCACCAAGACCAGATTCGGTACAATTGCGTCTTCAGGAGTCTGTTCGCTCGAGATGTTCCTCGGGAACTTGCTGCTGCTGCGATTCGCCTGCACAGAGCCCCGGCCATTCAAATCGACATTATGGGCACGACGACGCAGGAGATTAGGAGGTCGAGGGGGTTGCACATGGGTGCGGTCACTGCGGGTATGCTGGCCCGTCTGACCATCGAGGACGCTTTCGTCGCGTGCATGGACAGGCTGAGCCAGGCCGAGGTGGGTTTCATGTTGGGCAGTCACCAGCTTCTCTTTTCCGCATGGAGTGACAACCTTTTCAGTTTCGCGCCCACCGTGGGCAAGGCAGCTGAGATCATGACGGCGGTAGAGAAGGCCCTTTGGAGCAAGCACCGCCTGTTCGTGAAACCAGAGAGCCGGGAAATGGTCACAGCGAGCCACGTCACTTTCGAGAGCTACGATTTCCGGGACAGTCGTGGGTGCCGCTGGAAGGTGCAGCCGGCTGTGAAAATCTTAGGGCCATTGATCTCGTGCACGGGCTGCTGCGCGGAAGACGTAAAGGCCACAACTCAAAAGATTTACGTTTGCTTCTGGAAGAACAGCCGCTTCTTGACCAACAGCGGCATCCCCATGCGTAAAAGGCTACAGAAACTCAGCGGTGTTGCTGGAGGCATCATCAGAGCCAGGGCTGCGTCGTGGCCCCCTGTGCCAGGCCACGGAGACTTTTTTGGATAGAGGCAGTCAAAGCTTTTAGCGTGGATGCTCCGGCTGCGCTGTAAGCCGAACGAGACTCAACAGCAGTTTTGCCTGCGCAGAAACCGCGCGGTCAAACAGCTGGCGGCCACGAAGTGGTCGAAGTTTCATCTGTACTCGTGTTTGTCCTGGCACTCACACCTCCAGAGGCACCCAGACAGCTGGGCAGCCAGAGCGGCCAGTGAGCAGGACCACGACTGGGTCAGCTCACAAAGGCGCGTCTGGGTGTCGGCATCCAGCAGGTCTTCTAAAACTTTTTCCAGAAAAGGCCGGGGCAAGGTCCACCGCTGGGACCAATCGGGCTGGACTTCCCGGTTTAATCCGGCGGGGACGCGGGATCCCAAAATCATCTGGAATTTAGCGGACGAACTTTCGCGCAGTCTTGGCTGCAAAGGCAGACTTGGAGAGGCTTGCCCCTGAGAGCTTGTGACGCCGGGGATTCTCCGCCTCCAACGGGCGTGTCATCATCATCTTCTCTTGAAGCTCTGCCTTCCCGTTTCCCTCATCCCCCCGATTCCCATCCTCCTCCTCCTCCTCCTCCTCCTCCTCCTCCTCCTCCTCCTCTCCCTCAGCACCTGTTCTTTGTCAGCAGCCCCTCCTCGCATCATCGGGCGTGTCGCGTGGCGGGTCAGGCGCCTGACACACCGTCAGTGTGCACGATCCGGAAGCATGGTATTTCCAACGTCTGACGCCCTGGGGTACGGTGGGCTCGTGCGGCGAAGCCCCAGCGGCGCTGGCGGAGGCGTTCAAGCTTGAATTCTTCGGTGCTCAAGAGACGCGGGCCAATGCAAACGGGCGCCAGTCAGAGCGCCGGATCTTGCAGAATCTTGCAGAGCCAGGGCTGCACCGACCCAGGTTTGGGTGCAGGTCGCCTGCAGGATCCTCCAGGATTTTGCAAAGCCCGACTGACCCGGGTCTGGACTGACCTGTGTCATTAGATCCTCGAACGATCGGGGCCAAGATCGATTGAAGGTTGAACGATCGCCGCGGTGTCCAAAACCTTTGCGCGCGCCGCCGCCGCACGGACCTACCGCATGACGGTCTTCAAATTGTGTCCTTCGCTCTAGCACTGCGCAGGTTGGCATTCACTTTGTGAACTTGCTGCGTGTGCGGTGGGCGGTGACCCTCTTGGTCTATTTCGTATGGCTCGCAGCCATGTTGGCAATGAAAACCCGGTATTCCCCAGCTATTCCAGCACCCCTCCACTGTCCTTCGATCTCCTTCCCCTGTTCCTTCTCCTTCTCCTACTCGTCTTTCTCCTTCTTCTGCTTGTCGTTTTCCTGCCCCCCCCCTTGTTCCTTCTCCTTCACCCTTATTACTTCGTCACCTTCGTCCTCGTCGCTCTTATCTGCTTACCACTTCCCTCCTCCGCCTCCTTCTCGTCCTCGTCCTCGTCGGCCTCTACTTACGAGTCGGATTGCGAATCGGCATGAAGCTCGCAACGTATCGGCGTGATTTTCCTGCTGTCCAGGACAAAGGGGCGGGGACGCAAGAGGAGTGCGAGTAAGGATATTGCCGAAAGCCTCGACGGCGATGCTGCTTAGCTGAACGACGATGCTGATGTTGTCGATGAGGTTGATGACTATGCTGCTGAGGATCACGTGAGGATGATGATGTTTGTGATAATGGCCACGAAGATAATTCTGGTGATGCTGCTGCTAATGATGATGATGCCAATGATGATGGTGATGATGATGATGCTGGCAAGGATGATGCTGTTGATAAGGATGATGCTGATGATGATGATGCTGATGATGCTGTTTATGATGATGATGCTGATAATGATGATGGTGGTGGTGATGACGATGATGCTGCTGCTGATGATGCTGATGCTGCTGATGATGACGATGAGGATGATATGGGGGTGCTGATGAGGAATCAATGATGGATGAGGCATGCGGCAGGAGGACGGAGGCAGGGAGGGAGAGAGGAAGAGAGGGGAGGAGGGACGACGCGGAATGGAGGCGGGGTGAGGAGGGAGAGATAAGGGGAGGGGCGAGGAAGGGCGGTTGGAGGAGGAGGCACAACAACAGGAGGAGTGCAGATGAGGAGAGGCGGAGAGCCGGGAGGAATGTGGGGAGGGAGTGGTGAAGCTACACGATGCCATCGCTGCTGACGATGGCGATGCCGACTGGTTTGTTGAGGCCGGCGGTGTTGCCGATCATGGTGGTGGTGGTGGTGGTGACGGTGTTGATGTCGATGGTGGTGGTTGAGGAGCGTGATCATACTCAGCAGGAACACGATGAGGAGCAGGGGGAGGAGGAGGAGGAGGAGGAGGAGGAGGAGGAGGAGGAGGAGGGAGGAGGAGGAGGCGCCATGCCGCCTCCAGGAGCTGGTCGCGGCGCTGCTGGGGGCCCGCGCGGACCACCTCGCGCGCAGCAGAGACTTGAGGCTTTGGAGGAGGAGGGGGGAGGGGGAGGGGGCAGATCTCCGCTTCCCCTTGCCCATTCTGCTCGCGCCTCTCCTGCTCCTGACCCTGTCTCTTCTGCTCCCGCGTCTTCTCCTGCTCCAGGTCCTGCTGCTGCTCCTGCTCCTGCTGCTGCTGCTCGTCGTCGTCGTCGTGCTTCTGCGCCTACGGCGGCGGGGAGGGAGGCCGCACCACAGGGTCAAGTGGATGATGTGGGAGGGGAGGGGAAAGAGGAGGAGGAATGGGAAGAGGAGGAGGAGGGACGAGGAGGGAGGTGGCAGAGGAAGGAGACGCGGAGGAGGAGGAGGAGCATGAGGCGGAATCGCACCAATAAGGAGGAAGATGATGATGTTGACGATGATGATAATAATGATGTTGATGACGATGATGATGCTGCTGGTGATGATGATTATGATTATGATGACGATGATGATGAGGATTATGACGAGGATGGCGACGATGATAATGATGATGACGATGAAGAGCATCATGTAGATGATGATGTGTATGATGATGATGATGATGATGATGATGATGATGATGATGATGATGATGATGATGATGATGATGATGATGATGATGATGATGATGGTGAAGATGATACTGATAATGAGTATGGTGATGTTGATGGTTTGATGATGATGATGCAGATGCTGCTGCTGTTGATGATGCAGATGATGTTGTGATCTTAGATCAAACTTATGATTTCTGTTGATCCCCCTCCTCCGGTGCACCTATTTTTTGTTAATTTAAGTGCTCCTCCCGTGGCTCGCACCCTGTTTTCGTCGTAAACTCCCATCAATCATAAGTTCCCACTGAGGAACCCTGAAACAGAGCTCCTTCATAGGGAATCCTCAGTAAGGAATCCTGCTGAAGGAGTTCTTAGTACGGAACCCTGAGTAAGATCTCCTGTCTAGGGAAGCCTGACTAAGAAATCCTTGACAGTTAGTCCTGACTCAGGGACCTTTGGTAAGAAATCCGTATTAAGAATCCACCAGTCAGGAATCCGAAGTAACGTACTCTTCTTTTGGAGCTACCACTGAGGATTCCCCTGTGCAGGAATCCTTAGTCAGGGGCCCTCAATATCGCTCCTGAGTAAGGAGCCCTTGCGAAGGACCCTTTTGTTGAGGATGTCTTGATCACGGGCCCGCAAGGTGAATCCTTCATAAGGAATCTGTTATAAGGATTTCTTAGTATGGGACCCTTGATACGGAACCTGCAATAACGAATTAACGCCGAATCCGGGCCAGGGATCCTTAAGTAAGTATTCTTTAGTGGCGCCTCTGTAGGAAGGGCTCTTCCGTAGGGAATCCTTAGAAAAAGGGCTCTTTTGAAGGAGGCCAGGGTGGGACATCCTTCGTTCAGAATCCAGAATCAGGATTTCTCATGAAGGGACCTTCAATAAAGAATAGTTCGCACTACATCCTCAGTCAGTAATCCGTTTGAAGGTAAGGGGTGCTTCGTGGAGAACCCTGAGTAAGGTCCCCTTACCAGTGATCCTTTTACCGAGGAGTCCTTGTCAGTGAATCGTGACTTCCCTGAGTTAAGGAATGCTTATTCGGGAATCCATGGTAAGAAGTCTTACCTAAGGGACTCTTAGAGAGGAACCCTTACTAAGGTGTCCTTGGTGGAGGTCCTTTGTACGGCCTCCGTTGTAAGTAATGCTTAATAAAGTATGTGTACTAAGGGATTCGGGTACACAACAGCTCTTTCTGTGACGGAGGTGGGACGGGGTCTGGCGCTGGGGGGCAGACCCCAGGAGCAAACACATTTCGCCCTCCCGAATCCACTGGCCCCGTGTTTTTCGGGGCCAGCAGCAACGGGAACAGTGGATTCGGGATGACGAGTTTTTTTTTGTTTTTTCTTGTTCTTGGGGTTTTCCCCAAGGGTCCAGATCCCCCCTCTGCCACATAAGGAACCAAGTTGTATCCCCACGCACACAACGGGAATAGTTGTGTTAGCCCCCCCCACGGTGAATATATGGATCTCCCTGCAGCCACACAGACAAACGGGAACCACATCCATCTGAGCGTCCTCCAGAGGGGGTACAGAGAGACGAGGTAGAGAGAAAGCGAGGGGGGGGGCAAGCGAGATCGAGGGAGAAAGGGAGGGGAGGTGTAGAGAAAGATAGAAAGAGAGAGTGAGCGAGAGAGGGAGAGAGAGAGAGAGAGAGAGAAACGCATCCTTAACAATAATCCTTGAAACCGCAGGCCCCCGCTATTGCCTCGAAACCATGAGGCTGAGGATTCGGATGATGATTATGTTGATGTTCGTGTTGCTACTGATGCTGATGATGATGCTGCTGATTATGCTGATGATGGTGATGATGATGATGTTGTTGATGACGATGATGACGATGCTGCTGATAATAATGCTGATGATGATGATGATGATGCTGATGATGATGATGATGATGATGATGATGATGATGATGATGATGATGATGATGATGCTGATGCTGATGCTGATGCTGATGATGCTGATGATGATGAGGAGGAGGAGGAGGCGGATGAGGAAGAGGCGGAGGAGGAGGAGGAACAGGAGAAGGAGCAGGAGGAGGTGGAGGAGGAGGAGGAGGAGGAGGAGGAGGACGAGTGTCGAACAGCCGTTTGCCCATCCCGCCACCGTGCCAGGGTTGTGGGTATGAAGCCTATTGGATGTTTGTTGGGATCTCGTGGGAAGCTTCTCAGATGGGCTCTTGGATGCAATTTTGATGCCTCTTGGGGGCCGTTCTAGGGTCTCTTGGGGGCTGTGCTGGGGCCTCTTTCGACCTCTTTTGGGCCGTCTGGGTGCCTCTTGGAGCTTCTTGGGGGCCTCGTGGGGGCCTCTGAGGGCCTCCTGAGCGCCTCTGGGGGCCTCCTAGGGCCTCTTGGGGCGGAAGGCTCGGATTGTCGGTTCGTGTTCCCTCTCTTGGGCTCCTTTTTGGGCCGTCTTGGGGCCCTCTTGGGCCGTCCTGGGTGCCTCTTGGACCGTCTTGGGGCCCTCTTGGCCGTCTTGGGGCCCTCTTGGGCCGAAACAGATCACGCTCCACCACTTCCCAACGCCAAGGGAGCACGCGCTAAGCCCTCTGAAATTTCGGAAGTTGGGGTCAGGGCCCCTGGACGCACTCCTCAGGACTGAGGGCCGGGGCTCCTGGGATTAGGCAAATGACCTGAAGACACGCCCACTCTCCGTGCCCAGCGGCATGGTGGCGGATGTTGGTCATGCTGTTGATGCAAATAGTAATGCTGACGCTGGTGACGATGACGAGGACGACGACATCGATGATGGTGGTGATGGTGAAGTTGCTGCTGCTGCTGATGATGCTGATGCTGATGATGATGCTGATGCTGCTGATGATGATGATGCTAATGATGAAACGAGCAGGATGAGGAGCGGGACGTGGCGAAACAGGGACAGGGAATAACAATGCGAGGGTGATGCGGGGGGGAGGAGAGCATGCGGAGGAGGAGGGATGAAGGGGGGCGATGGGCGAGAGGAAGAGCGGGCTGGAAGTGTTGAGTTTGACGGTAGCGGTGCTGCTGGCAGTTCATGTGATTACGATCAGAATGATGATTACAACGATGGCGATGACAATGGTGATGTTTCTGTTGCCGCCGCGGATGCTGCTGCTGGTTGTAAATATGATGAGAGGATGAGCAGGGGGGAGAGAAACAGGATCACGATGAGGCGGAGGAAGAAAGCTCGGACAGGCACAGAACTACACTTTGGGCGAGTGGATTAGCTTCTTGCGCGGATCCCCAAATTCCAAACTTACTTTTCCGACATCGTCTTACGTATTGGTTCGCCCGCCATTCGCGGGGGCCGATCGCGCCTGTCGGATTTGCCTGGGCTTCGACGTCGCTTGCCAGTGTCAGTGTGGACTCAAGACTTGCGCCGCGCGAGTGGATTGGAGGATGAGCTCAAGGTGAGTCTTTCAGCTGCGGGGGGGCGCGGGCGTTTGCCGCCGCGCAGGGGCCAGGGGCAATTGGGAAACGCTCAGGGGATTGGAGGGCGGCAGGTAGAGGAATAACGGGGGAAGGGGAGGGCAAAGCAGCGGGCGGGAATGGGGAACATTGTGACCAGGCGAGATGTTCTAATAGGAGGAGCGATGTGGGCGGAGGCCGCAGTTGGAATTTCTTCGGATAGCCCTGGGACGTTCAGACACCTCCGCCCGGAGGCTGGCAGGGGGTTCAGCGGCCCTTGCCTTCCTGACTCTGCGCGCGGGGCGCAACGACGCACCCGACCTGTACCCCGTCCCTTTCGCTAGGTGCCGGTCTGTACGTGCTCGCCCCGCGCGAGACATCCAGCACGTCCAGAACTACACTTAGCCAGGCACTAGGTATAGTTTTGTACGTGCTGGTTTCGCCGGAGACATCCTCACAAAACGGAGCACTTATATAACTACACCTAGCCAGCGGGATAGGGTGCATGTCGGGTGCCGCCACTCGCGCTCCCAACGTGTACCGCGCCCCGGCCGCTAAGTGCCGTTTTGTGCGTGTCCTCTTTTCGCGAAGCATTGGCGGCCCGCGCTGCCCATCGCCGAGGCTCCGCCCCCTGGGCCGCTTCCCACCGACATCCCACATCCCCTGGCTCAGCGGAGCCAGCCGTATGCCTGGGGGGCCTCGACTTCGCGCACCCCGCTTCCCTCCCCCGCCTGTGCACCAGCAGCAAGTCCGCGATCCGATCCCCCGCGCGTTCGAGTTTTTCTTCGTGCCGGATTCCCCGTCCGAGGGTGAAGCGCTTGTTCGCGACATGAATGTTCTTGCGGCTGCCGCCAAGCCTCGCCGTGAAATATGGTGATCGCTTCCACGCTTGGCACGCAACGTTCGTCGGCGCGACCATCGCCTTCCATCGTAGGTCGTGAGGCGGCGTTCGTCCACCCAGGCCGACCGACGCGCCAAATCCAGTTATGATTGCCACCCGTGGCCCCCGCAACAAGGTGCAGTTTTGCTGTGTGTAGCTGTAGATGTGTGCGAAAAACTGATGTGTAGGACGAGAAAGA